GGATGCATCCGATGATGAAGATGATTAAAAACATTTTTTATTTCTTTTGTATTTGATAATTACTCTGTTTCTTTTTTAAATAAAAGTTTGTAATCTTTTTTATGTGTTTTACGTTTAAGTTTTTATACTGTGAGATTATTTTAAAAAATTTGGTTGAAAGGTGGTAACTAAGCTAAGTCAGAAAGAAGCTGTGAAAAATGAGTTAAGTCCTCAAGAAGTCCTTAGGGCATAAAGTAAAATTCAGTTTGACGTCGAATTTACTATAAATAAACATAATGCACGAAATCAATATTAAAATCATTCATGAAAACGCCACGTCAGAAGCATTTGAAGTCTAGTCAGAATTTAAACGCAAGTTTTCTCAAAAGCCGCTTCTTTGACTTATCACTTTTTCACGCGCAGTAGCGATATATATATAGTGTTTTTTATTAGGCCGCAGTTGGACGGCATTTATTTACTCTGGAAAGAAGTTTATTTCCCATTTTTATGGGATCGTTGTTTTAGTTCAATTAATGCTCGGCCGGAGTTAATTAAGAAACTTAAGTCTGGGAAAATCGAATCCGTAATTAAAATTTTAAATGTAATAAATTTTGTCTTGTTATTGTTAAATTCGTGGAAGTTAGCAGAGTGCACGCGCTTTGCACAAGTGTTACTTTAGATAAGGAAACGTTTAGTTGTTTAAGAGCGAATTTCATAGGAATTTTGGCGTGTACTCGTAAAAGTGCCAGTCTAAGTTGATTTACGATCGGTAATAGTTTTATTTATGCAATTATGTTATTGATCCGCGGAGTCGACCGTTTAGTTTTATCGGCTCCGAAATTCAAATTTTATATGGAAAAGCGTCGCAACGAGATTTGACGATGGGTGGCGTATAAATGGTTTGAACAGCGAAGAGAAGGCGCTTATTGTACCGTTTCGCGAAGTCTACGTGTTGTCTTACGTGAAAATTTTTGGAAAGTTTATTGTAGCGGCGTTTGCTAAAGTTCCGCCAGTTTATTCATCGTTTATTGTTATTTGAAAGTCCGGGAACGTTTGAATTACGCCGGCATCGAGGAGTTTAAGAAGGTCTTTGGAAGGAGTTTGTTGAAGGGAAACGAGCGGTACAATAACGCCATTTTAGCAGCGAGACTTCGTTTGCATTGTATTTTACATTGTCTGGACATGGCGGAACGTTTGTTTAACTCCAGCATCGCCGAGGAGCTGTTGGAGTAGCTGTACAGTGTCAGCACATACCTGGGGTTGTGTTTGTGTTTTTGTGTGCATCAGTCGTTTGTGCATTTGTAAAAAGGATTAGCTTGTACACAGATCGTGAGTACTGTCATTTTTGTTTTAATTTAATTGTAAGAATCGCCGTCTAAGACGGTTTTGTGTTTCAATTCGTGTTAAGTTATTATTTTCAGATTTTGTGCATTTAGCTTTGTAAATTTTATTGTCATTTATTATTTGTGTGTCAAAGTAAAGGTCAACGATTCGAGTTTCTCAAATTTTAAGTTTTCTTTTTTTATCCCGAGTGTGAAACGAGTTTGGTAACGTAAAAAGGTTTGGATCATCGGTGGGACTTAAATTTCATTCCAGAAGTCAGTTAACAAGGGTTTATTTTATTTGGAATTTAAGGGAGGTGGTAGCCACCGACCTGGCG